TATTCATCAAATGTTGAATGATAAATCACAAAATCTCAAGAACTTTTATCTCTGTTTGAAGCAACATAAAGAGAACATGCAAAGTTAAAGAATATCATGGAAAATGAAACAAAATTATCGTTGGAAATTCAATGTTTCCAAATCAACTTGGCTAATAAAGGAATGGAAAATGTTTTGAAATTCAATTTCTGAATAAAGTTTCAATCGAAAAGTAAATTAAATTTAAATGGACTGATAGACTTGAAGCTCTTGAAGTTCAACTTCATTCCATTTGGACTTTGTCTGGACATTGAATCTGATTGGCTGATGAACTCAGTTTAATCGATAGAGATTTACTTTGATTCAGATGATGAGAATGCGATTGAAACTAATTTGATTGGGAAAAGAGATTTAAAAGATTGCTCAAAATTCGGCGGAAAAAGTTGAATTGATAAAGATTCTGAGGGAATGGATGAAAGATTGAGTCTGATAAGTATCATGATAAATATATATGAACATGGAAAAGAGAATAAAGAGAAAAGATAAAATAGATTTTCTTTTTTTCTCAGTTTCTTTACAAAAATAGTGAAAAAACATTATAACATTAACCTGTGTTGTTAACCTTTTTTTTCAGTCGAGTTTCTCATCTCACTACCTTTTGTTCAGTCTTGTTCAAGAACATGATAAATTTTGATGAAAACTTCATTCCATTTTGTAACCTTTTTCACTCTTCTCATTCCTTTCATAGTTCACAATGTTTTTGTTATTGTTGCTGCTTTCAAACTATAAAATCATCATCATTTTCATCCTCATCATCTTTTAACAATAATATCTGTGCTATCAAAAGATGTAAAAGGATAAACATTGTGAAAACTTTTGCTCATTTTTATCTTCTTGTACTTTGGCTACCAACTTTTATTGAACAAAATAAATTCAAGATTCTACAAAAGTTATCAGTCGCACAATAATCTAGAATCATGGATAAGAATTGGAATGATGAACATCTCAATTAACTTGTGAATACAAAGGAAAAAATCCGAAGATATCATTCATTGAGCATTGCGTTTCACTTAAAGGGTCTCTGTATTACTATGAGCAAAGGACAGCGTTCAAAATAAATTTAATTGGCTTCAGATAAGAAGCACAAAGAAAAAAATAACCGCATTCAACACCGTCTTTGGTCAAAAGATTCAGTCACTATTCTCACATAGATTAATTTATTTTCACGTAATTTCGCTATTTAGTAAGCAAGTCGTAAATCGTCAGGTATCCGCCATTATTATGAAGGAAAATGCGTAATCTCTTAATGAAATAATTAATAACATGCTGAATTGTTTCTCTATTGATTGCCGCAATTTCTTCAATTATAAACTGTTTAAGTTCATTTTAAGTTTTGGGACATACCGGGCGTTTTTTCATTTTACGCCTGTTTACAGTCATATCACGATCGGTTGATGCTTCAGACCTCAGACTTGAATCATTAGCTTCTTCAGAATGTAGAACCTAAAGTTCGAACGCTCAAAGTCATTCAAGTTCATTTCGTTATTTGACCTCTAATCGACCTTTTAAGGTCATTCTGATAGGGCAAATTTTTTCAGATAGTTTAGTTTGTCACAAGTTGAAAGCACACATCGTTGGGAAGATAAACAAACTTTTCTCGCAAACAATTCTCCAACTGCACGGTATGAAAACTTTCATATCTCCTGACCAGCATAAGTTATAAACATGCAACTAACATCACACTATCTAAAAAATTTGCCAATCTGCGAAAATGAACATCAAAGGTCAGTTAGAGGTTAAATAACGAAATGACCTTGAATGACTTTGAGCGTTCTAACTGATAGTTTTTCAATCTGCGAAAGCATCTGGTTCAAGTTTGCGGTCTGTAGCACCAATCGATCGTAAGTTATGAAAGCAAACAGGTTATTTTCTGATTGATGAACTGGTCAACATTTTCTTCAAAGAAAAATGGTCCTATAATTCCAATCACTGATACAGCATATCAAGTATGGACACTGTTCACGTTGAACAAGGTCGGTTGTTCCTTACACCATCTGCGATTATTTCGGTGATTCGTCTTTTTTTTTGTCAAACAAAAAATCTTTTCATCTGAAAACCAAATCCTGTCCGTCTCAAGATTATTTGTTCAAAAGAATGAAAAAAACCCAACCTCTTATTCTTTGCCACCGCTGAAAACTTTTGTACCTCAATAGACTTATAAGGGTGACATCCATTGGACTTTAAGAGTTTCTCAACTACCTTATTATCGCAGCCTACTTGTCGACCCAATCCTCGAAACGAAAGACTCATTTTCTTCGATGGTCTGAAGTATTTGTAATAAGTTATTTTATGTTGAATAAGAAAACATTTTCTCAGCAAGCGCTATGTTCTTAATAATCTAACGAAGTCGAACAAAGGCACAGTAGAAAGATTATTATGTTTTCAAATTCGCATTTCCATGACAATCATGACACTGAAATATAACGTTAAGTAGCGGCAAGACAGTGAGATTATTTTTTTGCTGATATTCCAGGAATAGTTTGGGAGCTGAGGCAGGTTGGACATGTTGGACCAGAACCTGGCTTTTATATATCAATACTAAGGCCATTAACTTAAATTGCAAACTTTTCCAAACAGGGTTGTGTTACATTTTCATAACTTATGTGGGGAAGAAGATGCGGATGTTTGTGTACCGTTCAGTTAATGAATGAAACGGTAAGTTAAAACGGTATGAGTTATGAACATGAGCATCAAAAGACATAACAAAAATTTAAAAACGTGGATTGCTTTCATGTTTCGGAAAACTTCAACAAAGAACTTTCAGTTTCAAATTCCGACAAAAATTTCAGAAAAAAACTTAAAATTCGCATTTTTTAATCAACTTTATATTCTTTTCTTGCCATTACAATACTGATGATTTAGAGAGAACGCTTTAAGAGCGTGGCATAAAAATGAAAAGGGTGAAAAGGGAGAAATGTTGAAATGGAAAAGATGAAATGTAAATGGGAAAAAGACAAAAGTAAAAGAGTTAAAGATGAGCTTTAAAAACATGGATAACTGTTAATGATGATGGATACAATCTTAATGATTGTATCTGAAAATTGTCATCACAATGACTTTTAGATGGATTTTGGGTGAAAAATTTTCTCCAACTTTCATTGGCTCTTTCACATGCAACTTTCATCTTTCCTAATCATCAACACGAATGAAGGCAGCAGCAATAAGAAAACTAAACTGAAAGACGAAACGAATGGCAAGAGGTACAGAAAAAGGAATGAAAATATTCCAATTTCACCCTGAAAAAAAAGAAGGCGAAATAATGATGATGATAATGATTGTGAATAGTTATGAGACTCGAAAAGATGAAACTTACAAGTGTGATAAAGTTTACTTTGAAAGCTCATTATCTGTCATTATTAGTGTCATTTTTGCCTTTACTTTCTTCATGCACTTGTTCAATGGAAATGAAATTTTTTTATTCCAAAACATGAACAATTTTCCATGATAAAAGTAGAGAAAAAAAGACAAAATGTAAATGAAAAAAAAACGTTTAAATGAATCAATGTTTTGATCGTCTTTTCCCATCTCTTTCCAAGTGTTACAATTCAACTGATGATAAAAGGCGAAATGAAGGTTAAAGTGATTAATTAACAGCAACATAATTAACACAATTATTTGTGTTCCTTTCCTTCGTTCCATGTCAATAATAATAACGATAATAACCTAGTTAAAGCTCAATTAAGCGTCAAAACGAAGACAAAAGAGAAGAGAAGAAAAAGTTTTTTTTTCTTCGTCGATTTCCCTTTTTCCTTCTCATCTGTTCAATTGTTCAACTTACGTTTTGATCAGTGAACGTTTTATTAATTAATTTTGCTCGAACCATCTTTTTGCGCTAAAAGCATTACAAAACCAATTCAATTAACTTCAATTGTTATCTCATGATTAATTATCTCAACTTGAATTAATCTATTATTGCAATTGATGTTAATCTGGTTGTGATGAAGCAAAAGCTCTGATTTGTTGCCAAATTGACCGATGAAAACAGTCAAAGGAAGGAGTCGAGAAAAGAACGAAAATTGGACATTTCTTCGACTAACCAATTGATGAATTGTCGCTGCTCGAATGAATGTTGCCCAACATTTTTGGCTCATTATTGACCCTTGAATTTGTCTAAATTATTAAAGGTTATTTCCATTTTCCATGATAATAAAAGGTTGCCTTGTTGGTTCGCTGGTTTTACGGACAAAGTTAACTGCTCTGGGTTGACCTTTTTGTGTTGCCTTACTCTTTTGTTCCTCTAATGAAATGTATATTAAGCTCTCATCTAATGTAATATTAAATAAAAATTTATCATCCTAATGTGATGAATTGAACAATGGCCAGCAACAATAATAATAACATTAAGGCTCAATTCATACATGAAAGGGAGTTAACAGTAGATGATGAAAGAGGGAAAGAAGGAGATGAAAGATAAAAGTCATCATTATTTAACAGAATTATCATCTTGAAAAGAAGGCTAGAAATGTAAAGGTTACAGTGATGGTCAACTCGATAAGGGAAAACGGAACAGGAAAGATTTCGATTGTACAACAAATTACAGTTTAAAGAGTTTTGTCTTTTCAATTTCGTATTAGCCAAGACGATCGCATCAGATGAAGATTAAGGCGGGAATCTTGGTCCAAAATTTTAAAAGAAAACTATTTTCTCGCGTTTCAATGAACTTTGAAGCGAACCAAAGATCACCAAGAGTTTTGACTAAAAAAGCTAAAAGCTTTAAGATCATAACTTTTGGAACTAAAGAAAAAGTCGAAACTTTTGGATAACACGAAGATATAAATTTTGTGTTCGGATTCGATTAAGATTTTCAGCTGACACTTTGTTGGTGCAAATTCGTTTACTCTTTTCATGCAATTCGAATTCGAATTATTGATCGAATTTCGGAAAAAATTCTAATTTGGTTAATTGTTTGATTCTTATTGATTTTGAGTGAAAATTTTGTGTTGAATTTTGATGAAACTTACATAGCACTTTAAGGTAAAAAGTATCACTTGAGCCTATTCCTTCGGAATTTAAAGCTGAACATGAATAATATCCTCTGTTTTGACGTTTCACTTTTTGTAGCACAAGAGATTGATTAGAGATGATTATTCCTGAAGAAGGTTGTGACATCAAAGGTGATCCATTGAAAATCCATGTAACCTCGGTAATCCATGGATTGGCTTCAATTATACACTCAAAGTAAACATCACTTCCTTCACGAATAGAGTCACGATCAATTTTAGCACCTAAAACAATGTTAACCAAAGGAGTATCTGAAAGAAGCACCAAAAGAAAAAAGCAGATGAAACTTTTTCTTCTTTTTCCTTTACTTTTTCATTAATCATTGTTGCCAAAAATATCAATATCAACATCCATCAGATGAATGAAGGCAAAAGTTTGCAGATTAATTTGTTATCAAATTGTTCACTTTTCCATTCCTTTTCCATTCTCTGTTCATTTCTTGATTGGAATTAAATTGATTCCCTTTTCTATCATCAAACTCATCAGAATGATCATCAACAAAAGTGATTATGATTAATGTTTCAATTGCCGTGAATGACATGAATTAATCAAATGAAAAGAATGGATAAGAACAAAAAGGCCAAAACTCAAAATCCAATGAAACAAATTGGAATACTTATTTATAGAAAGAATAAAAAAAATCTATTTTTAGCCTGAAAATTATTCCATTTGAAAAGTGTTCAATAACAAATTTGAAATACTTTTGAATAAAAAGTTTTCTCTAAACATTTTCCTTCACCTCAACTGATTAACCATTAGAGTGTCAAATTTATGGATAAAATGTTTCATTGAAAAGGTAAAAATAGATTTGAAAGTAAAGGCAATGTTCATAATGAAACTGGGCATGAACTGAATGGACATTCAATACTCGAAATTGAACAATTGACTGAAAAGATTTGGAATTCTTTCAATGCAAATGTTGGAAATTGGAGGAAATTAAAGTCGCTTAAGCTGATCAAAATGAGCCAAAAGCGTTGATTGAAAGGTAAGCAAAATGTCAATTTTGGCAATCGATTAGAATGTTGATAAAAGAAAATTTGACCAAAAAGTGGAAATTCAATTATCGTAACCAGATTAACTCAACATTTGAATAAAAGTGTAACCTTATTGCTGTAACCCAAGTATCATTAGAGTTGATCATGTTGATTCAATTCTTCTCATGTTGCGATAAAAGTGTGAGAAAAGAAGGAAAATGAGTGAAAAGAGCAAAATTCAATTTGAATGGGCAGAAAAGAAAAGTGAAGAGAAGAAAAAATTTTGTGATTAAATCGAAATTGAATTTGAATGAAAATGGTTGATGGAAAAGGGTTGCAAAGAATGGATTGAACAATGATCATAATTAGAATTGGTTTTAAGAATAAATGTTGAAGAAAGAAATGAATGCTCACAATGAATGTTTAAACGAACAGATTCTTCAAGGCTGCTATTCTTCATCAATGGGTTCTCTGCTTGGCAGACGAGCTCTTTTCCATTGTCACTGGCAGTTCCGGTAAAGGAGAGAAGGCTCATTGTTTCATTTCCATCCTTTGATATTGTATCTCTTGATCTTGTTAACCGGCGACCGTCAAGCCACCAATATAATCGAGCTGGTGGCCTCGAACCGGAAACTCGGCAAATTAGTTCAGATCGTTTACCAGCTGATATAGTTTTGGAAGGAAATTCAATTGATATTGTTGAAGGTTTCACTAAATGATGGAACAGGATGGAATTGTAAGAGAAGATGAAAAAAGAAGAAGAAAGTTGAGTAAAAGTGAATAGGAAATAAGATGCAACAATGAAACGAATCAATTGAATGAAATTGAATACAATTTTGTTTCGTTAGTTGCTTTAGTAAAAGTTGAAACTTTAACTTTTGTCTTTTTGTAATACAAAAAAATAACTTTACAAGCAAAACCAATTTCAATTCAATTGTTTAACCTCTTTTACAGGATGAAAGGAAATGCGAAAAAGTTTAGTCAAACTAACAAATTAATTTCGCCTTTTATCATGATTGATGCTTTAATTTAAACTCTAATGAACTTGAAAAAGTTTCAAGTTTAACCTTTATTTTACTTTAACTTTTCAACTTTCAGTTGACTTTTGTCTCTTGCAACCTCATTGAAACATTGAATCTATTTTCCTTCTCCTCCTTCATTTGTTCAATTTTCACGAAAAATTCAACCTCTCTCTCTTTAGTTACATGGAAAATGTGGAGAAGAAAGAAGTTGCTCATTTTACAGAATTTTTTTCCTTCTAATTGAGTCAATGAGTCAAGAAGAAACCTTTTGAATTACAATGATCAAGGTTGAACCAGACAGTCGACTCAGCTTGGGTTGACTCTTAAGACCAATTGATTGAGTAAAGTAAAGCAGACAATGGCATTGGGTTGGGAAGGAAACTTGACCTTAGTCAGCCTTTACTCAGCCTTTACTTTAACCAAAGACAAAGAGCAACATTTACTTTGTTACCCTCCTTTGCCTTCCAAATGAATGTCCCCCGGTCTCATCATGAATCTACAGGAGTCATTTGATTCATTTGATTAATGTATCCTTTCCATCGCATCATCTTTCTCCTCATCTTCACTCATTTTGTTTCCCATTATTTCTTCTTCTTGTACAACTTTAATCACAACATCATACAAACTCACGTTGGCATTTACAGTAAAAATGAATAAAAAAAATGACTCTACACAATCTTGCTCTTTCATCTTGCTTATCATTACAATCATTACAAACCCAAAACCTCACTCCAAGACTCACACTCCAAGCCCACCAGTATCTCACTCCCAGGCAAGGTTAAGACACAGTCACTGTCTTGATTCATTTTTCCTGATTTAATCTACAGAAGAAGAAAAAGAAGAAGAAGAGTATAAAAAGTAGAAAACCAAAAGAGAAGAAAAAAACTCATTTCTTTACATTTTCTCTCTTCATGATGACGGTGATGATCATTTTTCAGTCGTCCCCAAGCACGAGAAACTATTAATACTTGTTTGACTATTGGTTATCTATTATTATCTAAACCCACAATCTATCTCTATTAAAAATCATTCCCTTCATTTCGCCTTTCATTATTTCTCATTTCACTCCATGCTTGCCTTGTTTCATTTCTCAAACTTATTCTATATTTATCATGATTATTTCTAATTCCATGTTTTTAAATACCTTGTCATTCACTGAATTCAATTGCTCAACTTTATTCACTTTGAAACAGAAATTTCTCTTTTCCTTATTTTTCTTCCTTTTCTCAGATATCATTATCCTTCCCAGCTTGATAAGTATATTTATTATTTTTATGTCCTTTTTAATATAAATTATTGTCATTTTAAGCATCAATATTAACGGAAGTAAAAACTCAGTAAGAGAAGAAGAAACTTTTTTCTTCTCCCTACCATCTTAAGCTTGATACATTTAGACTAAGAAAATGTTATTAGAATAAAAATTATTTCTTAGCTTGATATCAAATGATAATGGTGATTATCAACAAAATCTTCATCGTATTTTTTTCTTTTACTCTTGTATCATTCAATTTCAACCTTCATTTTTATTATCATCATCATCAATTGTTGGCAAGTTAATGATCTTTTCTCTGCCTCTCTCTGATGGCTGCCCATAAAGCAGCGCAGAGACTCACGAAGCTGACCAGAAGAACCTTGATTATCCACAGAAAAAAAACTCCATCAGTTGTGATTGCATTTACCATTATGATGATAATGATTATGATGATATATTAAGAGTATACATTGAAGAGATTGACTTTGCAGAGTTATTATTACGATTACTTTAACTGTCGCAGTTGACAATATTGTATCAGTTGAAAGTAAAGACGAAAAGACTTTTAATGTGGAAAAGAAAAGCTCAGTTAATCGCAATCGTATCAATTAAAGTCGAATGTTCGACTTGTCATTTTTCATTGGATTGACAGAAGATTGAAAATGAATCTAGACGTAAGTTGCTTACAGTTTAAGTTGATTGTGATTGAAGTTGTTAGCGGTTCAATGAGCGGTGCATTACTTGCTTTACAAGTGATCTTTGAGAGGAGAAAAGAGCGACTCAAGTTGGTCAGTGTAAGATCACTTCGGGTCAATTCGTTGGACAGCATTTCGTACGAGGCAATTAGTGGCTTGTCATCTTTCCACCATGTAAGTGTTGGTCTAGGAATACCTGGAGAAAGAAGAAAATGAGGAAAAAATTTAATGTCGAGTGTCAACAAATGGCAAGTACAAAGTGATGACTATTGAGTCGACGGTGTTACCAACAGTTAGACAAGTTTGAGCAAACCATTTACCATTCAAACTCGATGACATTTTAATAATGACTCGACTATCATTATTGTCTAAATGAGAGTTGAACATTTCATTTCCTTTATCATTGTCATCAGATCTTGTTATGATATATCATGGAAGAATGAAAGGAATGAAGAAGAGAAGAATGGAATAGGAGAAAATGGCAAATCACTTTTTCTCTCGTTTAATGTTACACCCTGTTTAAATTGTTCATGGTTATTCATAATTTAGGTTTTTGGTTTGAGAGAGAAAAGAGAAAAAATGTACAAAATTTTGATTTCATTATTATTTTAAATGTTTATCATGAAGTAAATATCTTGTAATTGTCTTGACTGAGGGTGGAAACTGGTGTAAAACTGAATATTTTTTTCTTCTTCTTCTCTTCTTTGCCTGATTAATGGTGTAAGAATATAAAGTTTTTAATTGACTGGAAAAGTTTTCTTGTAAAGAGAATCGAGCAAATTTGATAATCAACATTTTGCATATGAAAGGTTATTCTTGCAATTGAATCATGAAAACATGGGAAAGAAGAGGATGAAATAAAGTAATGAAAATTATTGTTAAGAGAAGCAATGCTGTAAACTTGAGAAAATGAGAATAATTCATTTTACTCTAATGAACATTGGTATTTTAACATTCATCATCAGCTATTATTTTCATTTCAAAAGTAGCAACATTAGTAGTTGCCAGTTCCCAAGAGTTGCCATTGTTGCTCGAGTTTTTACACTTTGAATCAATTTCTCATTTCTGATTTCATTGTGATTAAAAAAAGGATATTAATGATTAATTCATTGTTTTGTACCATTGATTGGATAATATGAATTGATGATTAATTGTATAATTGTGTCTCATTCATGACTTTAATTTTCCATTTCAACCGCTCAAGAGTGTCACCCATGAAGCTTGCATTGTTAAAGATTCAAAAGGAAGAATGAGAAATGAAGAAGTAAGGAATCAATTATTAATACTTTCATTGATTGCAAAGACTTTTCAAGAATAAACTTCCAAGCCAGAGTTACAATGAGCGTGTTTGTTTGCTCACTTATAACCTACTCGGAAAGTCAAGAGACAAATCGAAAAGCTATTGATTTAAACTTGATTTCAATTCGTCGATACAGACGCTTCGAGCGATCCAACTCAATCCATACTGAGGCGAAAGATCTATCTGCATTCAGAGCACTAGGAATGCATGAAAGGAATTTTTAACATTTCAATTCCGTTGATTGTTTCCCGAACAATGAGTTATGATTTTTCTTCTGTGCTTCGGACTTGTCTCATTATCCACTTTAAGGCAACGGTGATCCAGCAACCATTTCTAGTCGCCTGGCCAACATCAGTCCTTAGGCAGTCCTTTACAAGTTACATTTAGGGTAAACTCAATGAGTTCTCGACTTAACTAACATTTTATTGACGCGAATTTTCAAAGTTATACAGAAAGTTAATATTTTTGGAAAACGAAATTTAATTAACTTCAACTTTCGGTTTTACATTTTAAAGCAGAAGCGAAGTCTGAAATGAGCCGATTCTGTAGAAGATGCGAAATGAAGAAATGATTAAAATTGAAATGAATGAAAACGAATGAGAAAACTGCTCAGAGAAAGTTATTAAATTGGAAATAAGCCATTTTCATTTTCCATTTTTTCACTTTCATTTCAATATACAAACTTATAAACTGTTATACTATTTTTTTCTGCTCTGATAGTTTGTTACTGGATTACAAACTCAATTGAATTTTAGTTAAATTCACTTAAAAGCACAAGAAGAAATGAACAAGAGAATGAGAAGAAATATTCATTCAACCCACCAGAATATTGTTGGATTTATGACATGAAAGTAAGGAAAGAAGCAACCAAAAGTCAATCTGTTTCAGAGTAAAAGTTATTCACTAAAAAGAAACTAAATTATCACAAACTATTATCGCCATTATTAACTCGAAATTGAGAATTCAATTGTGAACACAATTTTCAATTTGCATTTACAGTCTAATATAAATCTGGTGAAATGTGATAATGTTGTCTGAAGGAGAAGCAGAAAAAAGAGCGTAAATGATGAGCAAGTTTCGACGATATTCATCATATTCATTGATTAAAAGAAGAAGAGTGTTTAAATGTTGAACAAATTAACGAACGAGAGAGAGGCAAAAATGCAATTAGCTTTTGATTTAGAACAAATTGTTACATTTACAACAATCGAAATTTTTTCTTCTTCTCTCTTCGTTGCTACGAAATTTACTGGCAGCATTTTGCTTCTCTAATCAAAATTGAATCAGGGAATTTAGTGATTCGCATTTGTTTGTTCAACATGTAATTTGACTCGAGTAATTTACAGTTCAAGAAACATGAACGAATGGAAAGAAAAATGTTGACAAAACAAGTTGCACCAAAGAATATTATTCATGCAATTTGTAAGCACTTTGTTCACTCTCTAAACAATTATAACATGAAATATTCTCTGAATGAAAAAGATTATGAGAATCTTTTTTTACTTCTTCTTTTCGGCATTCTTTATTAGACAATTCTGAGTCAACTAAATGAGTTGCTCATTTTTAGGCTTACAATTTATTCCAATGAGCCGTCCCAGCATCCAACTGGGAATGATCAAAGTAAATGCAAAATGATATTAGAAGGAGAAAAAAGTGTTTGATGAAGAAAATAAGTTGAAGAAGAAACTTTTTGACAGAAAAAAGTCGAAACAAGAATATGATAAAAAGACATTTGCAATTCCGTGATATTAACTAATGATAATGAGAAAAACAATAAACAAAATGATAACAATTAGTTGGAACAATTATGAGAAGAGAAAATCGAAAAAAATGGAAAAGAAAATGATGAACAAAATCGCCTGATAATCATGAAGAAAACGAGTAAATAATTTTTTCTTCAGAAAATGAAAGTTCTGCTAAAGGCATTTTTACCATCTTTAGTTTTGTTGACTTTATATGAATTTCATTGAGAAAAAAATAAACGAAAGTTGCTCGAAATGAATATCATGATGGAAAATGTCCCAAGAGCGAAAAAATATTTTGATTCATTTTCTTTTCTAAATCGCCTTTTCTTTTTTATCTTTTTTTTCTAAAGAATAATGAGAAGCAAAATTTTTACTCAGAACTTTTGCTCTAATTTCGATGAGTTTTTTTTCTTCTTTTGGTTCATCCTTTGTCTCTGTAATCACTTGTTCCATGAGCATTATCTCGATTAATATCGAATTTCGTTGTGTGCAAATCCATGGAATACAATTTACTTTTTTTGTTGCATTTTTTTCTTTCCTCATTTTTCGTTTGTTGTTGCATATGTTGGATTCAATTCTTGCTTTTGGTTAATTCAATCATCAATCTGAATTCATGAATAACATTGTGCGAAAAAAGCATCAGAATTGAGATGAAAAAAATCCATTGGAATTTATTGCCTTTTCTGTTTCTTTTTTCAGTCAAACTTTTCTTTCTCTCAACATTGAAATTCAATTTTTCACCAACTAATTGAGTAATTGATTCATCATTTGTTCATTTGAATGAGAATCAAATTTTGATTTACTTTTCTCCTGCAACCATTTCTCATTCTTATGCCATCATTCAATCATTACAAGGTAATCATTGGCATGATATGAATATATCGTGATTACTGAATAGACGAAATCATCTGTTTTCTGATGTTTAACCTTTTTTTCATTTCAACTCAATTCTCTTTGAGAAAAAAGTTCAATTTTTGCAGGAAATTGGTTCTGCTTTGGAAATGATTAACTCAACATAACCAAGCAACTTATTAGAACTGGTCAAGTCTGATTGAATCAAATCACTTTCATGGTAATGGTTGGCTCTGTTTTTTGATGCCAAACGCAAAAGAAAACAAAAAAGTCTAAAAAATGGAATCATCAAATGGATATAAATTGGTCAATTTGATAAATAAATGTATTACATCTTTACAATAAACTCATTTTTTGTACTATTTCAAAATGTGAAAACAGAAACCAAATGTTCAATTTTCATGTTATCCTGTTTCAATTTCAATTTCATTTTTATTCTTTTCCTTTTTCTTCCTGATGCTTTACTTTTTTTCTTCCTTTTTCATTCTCATTTTTTTGTTCATAAAATTCACCTTTTTGTTTAGCTCGAATCTGCTTACTCGGCATTCATGTTAAATGCTTCAAAATCCATTGATGGAAAAAGTATTTCATTTGTTTTCAGATAAAGCAAATTCAACTGTGTTCGGTATGATTTATTCATCAACAAATCATTTGTTTTCAAGATTAGCTCAAAGTTGTTCAAATTCAGTAAGCTTGATAGACTTTAGAAGTGTCAGGATAACATCGCTTCATTCTCTAATAATAAGCTAATTCAAACCATGGAAGGAACTACAAAAGCTTTTACTAAAGACCAACAGATAAACGAAAATTTTCAGTCTTCATCAATGCAATTTTCCTTTGCTCTAAGAACATTGTTTCTGCTGGCAATATCGCTCAAAAATTTGCTTTTCAATGAACATCTGAATGTCTATCAGTCATGACTTTGTACTTTTAGTGTGAAGTGAATATCTTTATACAAACCTCCATATGATTCGCAACTTAAGTTAAGATCTGTACTTTCATTGAAGGGCCCAACTAGACCTTGTAGTTTCTCCATTGTATCAGTGTTTAAGATAGAAATGGAATCGGGAGGAACTTGAAGAAAGTGAGAATATAATTGAAGAATGAGTAGTTTGAAGAGTTGCTTGGAAGGTTATTGCCCAGGATGGATGGCGAGTGTAGCAAAGTTGAATGAAAACTTACCTATTACTGTTAGATTTACAAGAAAATTTTGTGTTGGATATTTTTCATAATCCACTCTACACCGATATTCACCTGAATCTTTTGATTCAATCTTGTCTAATCGCAATGTTGGTGGACTTTTACTCATTTCAAAATAAGATCGTGATTTATATGAACTTGATGGTAAATGAATTGAACTACTTAATGAACTTTTATTCCGTATATCCACAGTATAAACAGGGATTCCCGTATCATCCTTGTACCACAAAATAATAGCCACTTCACGACTATTTCCATGAGTTATTGAAATGTTGCACGGAAGTGAAACAGATTTACCTGCAATTGCTTCAACTTCAATATGACCTGAATAATCAATCTCTAAATTTTGTGATTCCACAAGATTATAATTTAATGAGCACAAAAATAAATATGAGGGTAAAATTAATATCCACATTGTTTTCAATTTAAACACACGACACAACAAAATGATTTTACATTCACTATTCATCACGATTACAATTATTGGTATTGATAATGTCACAGTTAATATACTAAACAAGATGTTTCATGGATCACAAGCAACAAAAAAACTCAAACATATAAAACTCAACTTTTTCTTTTCGAGTCAACTCATGATAGAATTTCTCACTCCCTGTTCAATAACGCCATCTTTTAATCTACAAATAAACTTATTGCTATTGAAAGATTAGCATTCATGAACTAGGTTCGAATCGATCCTTTGTATTCTGTAGTTAGTTTATAAATTACTTGAAATGGATTATGCAGGGTTAAATTGAACTTTATCCAGTTATTTCTTTTCATTATGCCATCAATGCAGTCAAAGGTAATTTTATTGCTTGAAAAAGCATAAGAAAATGCAATAAGCAGAAATTTGTTCTTTGCAATAATAAGTATTTTGTTCAGCTATTTAGCTATATCGCGATTGAAGCTGTTAGTGGTTGAATAGGCAGTGCATTACTTGCTTTACAAGTGATCTTTGAGAGGAGAAAAGAGCGACTCAAATTGGTCTGTGTAAGATCATTTCGGGTAAATTCATTGCACAATATTTCGTACGGGGCAATTGTAGCTTGTCATCTTTCCACCATGTAAGTGTGGTCTTGTTGGCAAGTAAACGATATTTCTCTGCCTCTCTCTGAGGGCTGCCCATAAAGCAGCGTAAAAGACTGTAAGTGACACTAAGTTGACCAGAAGAACCTTGATTATCCACAGAAAACAAAACTCCATCAGTTGAAGAGATTGACTTTGCAGAGTTATTATTACGATTACTTTAACTGTCGCAGTTGACAATATTGTATCAGTTGAAAGTAAAGACGAAAAGACTTTTAATGTGGGAAAGAAAAGCTCAGTTAATCGCAATCGTATTAATTAAAGTCGAATGTTCAACTTGTCATTTTTCATTGCATTGACAGAAGATTGAAAATGAATCTAGACGTAAGTTGCTTACAGTTTAAGTTGATTGTGATTGAAGTTGTTAGCGGTTCAATGAGCGGTGCATTACTTGCTTTACAAGTGATCTTTGAGAGGAGAAAAGTGCGACTCAAGTTGGTCAATGTAAGATCACTTCGGGTCAATTCGTTGGACAGCATTTCGTACGAGGCAATTAGTGGCTTGTCATCTTTCCACCATGTAAGTGTTGGTCTTGGAATACCTGGAGAAAGAAGAAAATGAGGGAAAAAATTAATGTCGAGTGTCAACAAATGGCAAGTACAAAGTGATGACTATTGAGTCGACGGTATCAGCAAACAGAAAAATCAGGGATTAAACTTATTTCTCACAACAAAAGGTAAAACTAAAGAGAGATAATTAGTTGAACAACCAGTAAGACTCAAATCAAATCATAGGTGAGAACAAAAAATGAGAGGAAAAACAAAAAGGTTTAGAATCGAAAAATAAAGGCGAAAAAATGCTAAACATTACCTTTTACAGTTAATCCAAAAATCCAAATTCAAGCATTTCAGAGAAGAAATGTGATGACTATTGAGTCGACGGTGTTACCAACAGTTAGAATGGAAGGAATGAAGAAGAGAAGAATGGAATAGGAGAAAATGGCAAATCACTTTTTCTCTCGTTTAATGTTACACCCTGTTTAAATTGTTCATGGTTATTCATAATTTAGGTTTTTGGTTTGAGAGAGAAAAGAGAAAAAATGTACAAAATTTTGATTGCAAAGACTTTCCAATAATAAAATTCCAAGCCGTAAACAAATGAGTGTAATGAGAGTAATGCACCGCTCATTGAACCGCTAACAACTTCAATCACAATCAACTTAAACTGTAAGCAACTTACGTCTAGATTCATTTTCAATCTTCTGTCAATGCAATGAAAAATGACAAGTTGAACATTCGACTTTAATTGATACGATTGCGATTAACTGAGCTTTTCTTTTCCACATTAAAAGTCTTTCCACATTTTTCGTCTTTACTTTCAACTGATACAATATTGTCAACTGCGACAGTTAAAGTAATCGTAATAATAACTCTGCAAAGTCAATCTCTTCAACTGATGGAGTTTTGTTTTCTGTGGATAATCAAGGTTCTTCTGGTCAACTTAGTGTCACTTACAGTCTTTTACGCTGCTTTATGGGCAGCCCTCAGAGAGAGGCAGAGAAATATCGTTTACTTGCCAACAAGACCACACTTACATGGTGGAAAGATGACAAGCTACAATTGCCCCGTACGAAATATTGTGCAATGAATTTACCCGAAATGATCTTACACAGACCAATTTGAGTCGCTCTTTTCTCCTCTCAAAGATCACTTGTAAAGCAAGTAATGCACTGCCTATTCAACCACTAACAGCTTCAATCGCGATATAGCTAAATAGCTGAACAAAATACTTATTATTGCAAAGAACAAATTTCTGCTTATTGCATTTTCTTATGCTTTTTCAAGCAATAAAATTACCTTTGACTGCATTGATGGCATAATGAAAAGAAATAACTGGATAAAGTTCAATTTAACCCTGCATAATCCATTTCAAGTAATTTATAAACTAACTACAGAATACAAAGGATCGATTCGAACCTAGTTCATGAATGCTAATCTTTCAATAGCAATAAGTTTATTTGTAGATTAAAAGATGGCGTTATTGAACAGGGAGTGAGAAATTCTATCATGAGTTGACTCGAAAGAAAAAGTTGAGTTTTATATGTTGAGTTTTTTTGTTGCTTGTGATCCATGATAACATCTTGTTTAGTATATTAACTGTGACATTATCAATACCAATAATTGTAATCGTGATGAATAGTGAATGTAAAATCATTTTGTTGTGTCGTGTGTTTAAATTGAAAACAATGTGGATATTAATTTTACCCTCATATTTATTTTTGTGCTCATTAAATTATAATCTTGTGGAATCACAAAATTTAGAGATTGATTATTCAGGTCATATTGAAGTTGAAGCAATTGCAGGTAAATCTGTTTCACTTCCGTGCAACATTTCAATAACTCATGGAAATAGTCGTGAAGTGGCTATTATTTTGTGGTACAAGGATGATACGGGAATCCCTGTTTATACTGTGGATATACGGAATAAAAGTTCATTAAGTAGTTCAATTCATTTACCATCAAGTTCATATAAATCACGATCTTATTTTGAAATGAGTAAAAGTCCACCAACATTGCGATTAGACAAGATTGAATCAAAAGATTCAGGTGAATATCGGTGTAGAGTGGATTATGAAAAATATCCAACACAAAATTTTCTTGTAAATCTAACAGTAATAGGTAAGTTTTTATTCCCATTCAATCCAAACTCAAACAAAAACCAAATCAATGTCTCGACAAATTGTATCCAACCAGACCGCATTCATCACAAAACGGAAATTTCAATTTCTAATTCAAGGAAAATGGTTAAGTCAAAGTTGAAACAATACGAAATTCTAATAGAGTTTCAATTGAACTGAATGGATCAGATGGCAGACAACATGATGAGTTGTTAAGAATTGATGAGGAAAGAGAAAAAGAGATTAGATTCAATCAACATTCTCAATTTGCTAATGTTTCTTTTTATTTCTTATTCATTATTTTTATTCACCTTTCCTTTTGTTTCAACACTGAGCTTTATCTCACTTATCGTCTCCTTTCATTCCCTATCAATCTCATCTCAAGACAGGGTGAAAACCTTTGTGAATAAAGAACAAGAGAATCAAAGAGCAACAAGAAAAAAAGTAACACACGAATAATAACGAAAAGTGAGACTTGTTCTAACGAATAAATATTCCTTTTTTTCTGTGTAAAAGAGTTAAAATCTCTCGAGTATCAGCAAACAGAAAAATCAGGGATTAAACTTATTTCTCACAACAAAAGGTAAAACTAAAGAGAGATAATTAGTTGAACAACCAGTAAAACCCAAATCAAATCATAGGTGAGAACAGAAAATGAGAGTAAAAACAAAAAGGTTCAGAATCGCAAAATAAAGGCGAGAAAATGCTAAACATTACCTTTTACAGTTAATCCGAAATCCAAATTCAAGCATTTCAGAGAAGAAAAAAAAGAGTTTCAATGAAACTTGTTAGATTAAACCAAAGACAGTTTGTTGAATTTTGAATTGCAAAGTAAAAGATGAAAAAATAATAAGATTATTAAATATTCATCGACCCTTTTCTCACTTTATTATTCATGATAAACTGAAAAATTTCACTTTTCCTTTTTCCAGCTGTTTCGCCAATTTAAATATCAAACCTTTGCCTTTTCATGGACCCAAAAAAGTAGAAAGAAAGATAACGAAAAACAAATTTCTCTCTGAATTTTCGACTCATGCTGAGCAAACGATGAAAGAGCAAAGAGAGTTATCCACAAACGAATAAATGATATTAATAACATTTCTTTTGTGTGTTTCCATTTTTTCGTCACTTTGTTCACAGTTTCAATTGTTGAAGACTTTCAAATGCTAGAAAAAGGAAAGAAGTGAGAAAAGTTTTAAAGTCAAACTTTTCGTCGCTCAAAAGAGAAATAAATGTTCTTACATTTCATCATGTTTCTCATGCTTTTGTTTTCCAACTTTTCTTGTCACACCATTTCCATCATTTTTACTCTACTCACCTCTCATTAATGGCATTTCATTTGCTTTTTTGTTTCACACAAAATTTAACTCCCAGTCAAGAAAATTTTGTTTTTCGTTTTTTTCTCTCTTTTCTCTCCTTTGCAAAAAATTGTATTACAAGAAAATGAATAAGATGTGAAATGCAGAAAAGTGTAAAACTTTTTTTTTCTTTTTCTTTGTAACAATTTTTTCTCTCCTTTTTTTGGTGTTTAAGCAGAAAAAATGAATAAACTCATCTCTCTTTATATGAATGATTCTGCAAACTTTTTTTTGCTTCTCTCCATGTTTCCAACTCTATGCTTTTGTCTTTTACTGTTTAACATCAAACTATTCTTGTTACTTGAATTCCTTGATTTACGAACTGTAACTTTGACTTTGTGAAAAGCTGGTGAAAAGGGTGAGAAAAATATTTCTTTCAGTAACAAGAATTTCATTCTCACAAATAAAAGGATAACTATTCAAAAGAAAATCTGAAACTTAGAAGAACAAGGAAAATAAAAGACTTTTGTCATCATTTTTCTCTCTTAACTTGCATTCAACAATTTTTTGTTTCAACCTACAAATCAACATGTAGTTTAATGCAAATTTCAGCCAATAGATAATCACCTCAATTAGCAGAAAATTCTGGACAGAAAATTTCCATATCCCATTTTTATCCATTCGTTGATGTAATCAATGTTGAAAGTTTGAATATCATTAAACTTACAAAATCTAGTGAAGTTTTGCAAAAATCGAATATTCTAATGAGCTTTCAAAAATACTAATCATTATCTTTGAAACTCTGATCAATTCGACCGAAATAAAAAAATTCTTTTACAGAAACCATTTTCGAAACCAAACTGATACCTCTACTGCAATTCAGTTTTTACTTTAGAGGTTGATACAATTAATGTCGATAATTTACCTGACATTGAATTTAAGATTGTGTTTGTATGTAAATTTAATTTGCTTGATTCATTGTTTCCATTTTTTCTTGTGAAACTTTAGTTCCACCAAAATCAGTAACGATTACCGACTCTAATGGGACTCGACTCGAAGGTGTCATTGGTCCATATCTTAGAGGAACAACACTCCATCTAATCTGTAAAGCAACTGGAGGTAAGTTTTGTTCACTTCAACCTTACCATCTCAACCTTGCAACGAAACACAAACTTTAAAACTGTCGAGAAACAAAACAATTTGAAAAGTTTTGCCTTTAAAACTCTTCAACCCATTCAACTAGGGAGTTGAACTATTACAAAATAAGTTGTACACCTTTGCATCGTGAAAAGCCAACTCTAAATGTTGCCATTAGTTGAGAGTAAAGTGTTTAGCCAAACAAAAGCAAAGAGAAAAAAAATGAGAAACAAAAAAGTTTTTCTCCTTAATAACAGTCTAACTTTTCACTCGATTGTTGTACAGTCTAGAACTTTTGATGGTAAAAATTTTGCGTGAAATCGTTTTCTTCCTGTATCATGGCTCATTAAACACAACTGTAACAATGGATCATTAAGTATTCTTACTTTCTTATTTTTCATCAGCTTTTCTCTTCATATTTATTCTCTTCTTTTCCATCAGTTTAGCATTTGTTGAGCAAAAATGAGAATGAGAAGGAAAACCTTTAATCATAGCCAATTCCATGGTTTTTTGTGATCTTTTTATATGCACAATGATGTTGTTTTTGTTTTTGTTTTTTTTCACTTGCTTTCTGGTCTCTTTATTCATACTCATAAACTCATTGAGCTTATCATGAACATAATAAGGCAATCATTTTTCTCTTCATCCTCTTTTCTTCACCTCTTTCGCCGTACTGCACGAACAATCAACAGCAACTTTCAAAGTTTCATTATTCTATTACATTAATCAATGGAAAAATATTAACAACAATTTAGTGTGATGTAATAGTTTGTCAAATTGTGAAAAATAAACTAACAACTTTTAATCAAAATAAAAGTGATAAATTGAGATAATCAATTTGTGTGTGAAGGTAGAAACTTTGAATCATGAATAATGTTGAACAATTGAGTTTTCAGTCTTGAATAATAAACGATATCAATAACATGGTAAGTGTAGAGTAAAGTCTTTAAAATATCATTTTAATGGATCATTTCATGAAATGTGTCTTGCAAAGTGATGATAAAATAAATGATGAATTATTATTGAATTTTGTGACAATTTTTACGTTCATCTTTTCATTATTATGAAAATAGATTTCATCCGTTTCCATCCGAAAAGGTTTACATCTGGAAACAGTGACTAGAAAAAAGGAAAAAAAGTGAAATCTCATAATTGATGATTTTCATGAGACAAAGAATTTCATGATGGATAAAAGACAAAAGAATCAATGAAGTACAGGTGTAATTCAATGTTTAAAAGATTATATCACGAAAAATTTGGGTCATATTTTTACATTCTTTGTGCATTTTGATGTATATGTTAGTCCTTGTTAACGATTGACCTTTAAATACTTTAGATTGTGCATTCAGAGCTTGAATTATAATAGATCGAAGTTGATTTCGGCGTAAGTCTTCTCGAAATAGATTGATAACAACATATCGAGATTTCAGATCACAACAAACGTTTAAGTGAAGTCAGTTTCAATCGATAAAAACTGAAAATATGATAGTTTCGAATTACAACTTTAATGGAATGTGGACAGCTTTTAATCGAGTTTTTGCTTATCATTTCAGTACATATATGATCTGTTACTTAGAACGTAGATGTTATGTACGGAGATTCAGATCCATACTCAGAATGAAATGTGCATCTGAAAAGTTACATGCTCTCTATCTACTGAAGCCCAACTATTTGAATCATCTCACGGGCTACAATTATCAATAACTGCAGATAAACATTGAAAAACTTGATATGTTGCTGCAAAAACTTTGACGGAAGGTTTACAAGTACAGGGTCCGCCACAATACATGTCAGCCTGTATTTTTTGAATAACTTTTTTATTTTTTCGTCAATCAAGCTCATTCTCACAGAAAATAATCTTGAATAAAGGGGAAACAAAGATATGGACCGGTCAAATTTTTCGGGTATCGCAGGTCAAAATTGCGCCTGCGCGAAATGAAGGTACAATTTTCGGGCGTCGTACGGGTTTTTGTTCTATCTTTTTCGACTGTACAGATATTTTTAGCTTTTTTGCACTGTTTTACAAACTTTGTTAGTCACTTGCCAATGTTCTGAAATAATTTTGTCATTGCGTTCTGATAAAAGCAATTTATAGCCGATTGAATAGGACACTTCATCATGCGTGAATTCGAGCAAATTGAAGCATAAAGCATTGATGGGATGGAGCAGTATTATTTTGCTACTCAATAGGTGCCAGGGGCAAGAAAAGCCCTATGGAGTTATTCTGGACTGAAAAATGTGCATAGTATCTCAGAAATCTGTCTATGAAAGCCTCATTGAATAACATTGGGTCTGAAAATGACTTTTTTTTGCGCAGGCGCCATTTTGACCTGCGATACCCGAAAAATTTGACCGGTCCATATCTTTGTTTCCCCTTTATTCAAGATTATTTTCTGTGAGAATGAGCTTGATTGACGAAAAAATAAAAAAGTTATTCAAAAAATACAGGCTGACATGTTTTGTGGCGGACCCTGTACTTTTCAAAATTTCTTAGCGCATTGTTTTCTTCTCCACTCTATTTTCTCTTTCTTATCCCGTGGCTTTATTTTATCATTATGCCAAATCTTTCACATTACACCATTTATTAACTACACAAAAATCCATCGTCGAGAGATGAACAACATTACATAATACTTTTATTAAATAGTC